AGGAGGGGGAGCTAATAATTGCTGCTGCTCTGAGAACCAGAAGAGGCTTCATTCTCAGTTGTGAGATCAACTGAGGCTACTTTCGCTAGATCTGTTCAATAGGCTGGCGATATTAGATTAGCGATATAGACATTCTTATTAATTAGCTTTATAAAGCTTTGACAGACCATTTTGAATATTCTGAACTTTAATAAGCAGCTTCACAGTCAACACAATTATGATCTGTTTTTCTTTACTGTTTTAGGTGTTAGACATCAAGTTTGGTTTCAAGAGAAGAAAAGAAAATTCAAGATATTTTTGGTACCTGCTACTGTTTGCTGTTCAATGAGAGGCACTTTTAGTTTGAGATCAACAGCATTTCTTTATTTGGATGTTATTTATGGATGGTTTGCTAGGAGAATCAGTTTGGTTGATTAGTGTTTATGAATGTTTTTCTGGCACGCAACATTATTTTTGCTCAAAGTGGTTAACGCTGATGTGACCTATTTCCTAACCCCCATTGTACCGCTAGTAATGGGGCGTCTTTGAAAACGTAATTGATTTATAAACTGACTGAACTGCCCAGATAGATGGAATGCTATTCTGTTCAGGCCTAGAAAACTTGCAGGGTCTTAATGGAGTGCTGTTGGGATGGGTTAGCACTGGCCTGCTGCTCTTCCACCCACAATTTTTGTCCTTAAGGTATTTCAGTGGGTTTTTAAAAATTATTTAAAATCCCCTCCTCTCCCAATGTTTTTCTCCTCTAGACTGTGACTATCTTACATGCACAACAAGAAGGGGAAATATTTGTAAGGAAGCTACGTGATTTTAAGCTTTCTGGTAGAAAGACAGTAGTCAACGTTATGGCAAGAAATGTAAAAATTATGTCGGACGTTTACTTTGATATCTTTAATTTTTTTTTTCCTTTTGGTTACTGCGATTTTACTTTTAATACCTGCTTTAGTACAGTATGCGGTTTTTTAATTGTTGTTAGGAATTCAGTTCCTTTGATATTAAAGCCCTGAAATGGGAATATAATAATTCTGCTGTGACTCATTCCAGTAACTTTTTGGTCTTTGCAATAGACTTCAAGATTTTCGTTATCTGTAATTTATTCTTGGAAAAACTTGTAGGTCTCTTGCAGAAGTTACCTTTTCTGTATTCTTATCATATACAAATAAGGGGGAATTAAAAATGTTGCTTCTTTGAGATTACTGTGTTCGATCTTGAGCTGTTGTGGAGGAAGACTCCCCTAAATTGTAGAATAATTATTTCCTTACTTTTTAGCTGGTTACCCAGGTCTGTGTTTGCCTGGAACTGTGACATATGAACTGTTGTGTATTTCCGTCCCTTATCATTGGTATCTTTTTAACTGTATTACAGAATTTCTGGGGTTTGTAGGGCCTGATTTAAGAGCACGGTATCTCTCTGGTGCTTGTCGAGTGTTTCCCGATGAGTATCATCAGCTGTAACTCTGCCTGAACGTGGCGTTTGGTCTTGACGTATACAGTTCAGTACCGAGCAGTTACTTTGGAGTTGGTGGGCAATGTTCCAGGCTGGCGGTTTTCATCGTTCCCGTTGCGCTTCAGCTGCTGGTAAGGCTGACGGTGGAGATTCGTATGGCGCAGGTATTACGAGGCTTAGCCGGGGTGGAGAGTGGCAGGCAGCAGTTGTTAGAGCCACTTTCTGAATTTTTTATTTAGCTAAAAAGTGAAATCTGATCTTGCTTTCCCGACCTGCCAGCAGATAATAGCATTTGTTTCTTTTTTTAACTGTGTGAAACAGAAATAAAAGTTTAAATGATACTGTTTAGGTTACTCATTTACACAGAGGAAGTTGTTAGTTACAACTAGAGCTGGTAGAAGAATGACATTTGTGTTGTGTTTCTTACAGGTCCTAAGGAGCAGTTTACG